GCCGTCGGCAACTGTTGCGGCCGTGTGAATGACCCCGGCGAGTCCAGTCGAACGCGGCGGGTCGCCCGCGCTCGGGTGACCGCCGTTGCCTGTGCCTCGTTACGTAAACGGTAGCCCGTCCGGCCCGGAGGCCTGCGGGGGCCCGATAAGGCCCGGCCGAAGAGGCCGCCGCCGCCCGCCGGAAAGAAAGAAAGAAGCGTCGGCTCCCGCTCGCGCCCGGTGAGATAGGGCCCTGAGCCACGCCCATCCCGGGGAGCAACGGCGCGCCGACCCATCCGATGCTGCCCGGTTCATGGGAAAACGGCCGCCGCGGGCTTTTTGGGCTCTGCGCACCACGGCTGGCGTCTCCCCACTGTCGTTCTTGTTCTTCCCGTGCTCGCGTCTGCGTGCCTAATTTTGTTGCGTTTCTTTTTTTTTTTTTTTGGTTTTTATACACAGCAGGTTAAGTCTCGAAGAAATCTAGAGCGTCATGCTGAGTGTTGCGGTGGGTCCACATTACATGAGCGAATGACGTTCTAGCGAACAGCGCCATATGAGGGAATCGACTTTTAGCGAATAATGGGGGGTCGCGTCGGTCAAATGTAGCGATCGTCGTGAAATGTAGCGAAGAGTCGTAGAGCTTTCTTTGACGTTTCTACGCCCCGTAGCATCGCTAGCCAAGAAAAACTCCCGGCTCCCCAAGCTTCCTATGTTCTCCTCTTTCCCCAGCAGGGGGTACACGCCGGTATGGCGTGTTCCTCCCCCACCTCTCCATCCCCCCCGGCGCCCCATTGGCACGTGTTCCGACGCGAGCTTTCTGCCGGAGTGTCTGTCAATCAATCGTCCGGACCGGGTGATTTATGGCTCCGCTTGGCTGCCGATTGTTTCCCCAGAGCGGGGGGCTGCCGTCGTTCGAGCTCGCTCGGCCCTTCCAATTTGCCGGCACGGTGGGCGCTGCCCAGTCGACCGCGTGACGCGCTGGTGGTCGTTGCGGTCGGACGCTTCCGAAGTCCGCGGACGCCGCCCGCACGCAGCTCTGAGTCAACCGCGGGGGCGGGTGGGCGCCCGCGAAAAAGGATTCCAGGTGGGCCGGTCATTTTCCCGCTGTTTGCGTGATGGGTGACCTTCTTGGGTAACGTAGCGCCATGGCTGATCGTCGAGCGAGGGTTTTCGCAAAGAGCCGCTGAGTTTTGAGCCCATTTGCTTGTTGGTGACCAAAAAAAAAACAACGAATTTTACTTTCGTTTTTTTTTTTTCAATGAAAGAAAACGTGGGAAGGTAAAAAAAAACTAACTAGCTCTACCTAAAAAAAAAAAAACCTTTGTTGAGATCGGTTTCACGATTAAAATTCGTTAAAAAAATACGCAACTCTTCGTTTTCTTTTTTTTTTTTTGCATGCACAATTTTCTTCTGGTTCTTTTTGTTGTTGTCGTTTTCATTGCGCGAGACTTGTTTGTATTCCTTATTCTAAAAAGGAGGAGGAGGAGGAATAAACTTTATTAAGCCGAGCCTTAGGTGCTGAAAACAAAATCTCAATTAGAATTATGTTTGCAGAGGAGTATAAAATGTTGGTTGTTGCTTACATCTCCATCCTGCTTCGCTTTTTGGTACTTGGCAAAGCAGCTTGATGCCGTGCACTCGAATATTGTTTGGCTAGTTTAGTTTTACACGGACGGTGCTCAAGCCCCTTCCATGCGCTTAACCCTGTTCAAATCAAACACCCGCCTACTAGAAAATAACGACAACGCCAGTCTCAGTCAGTACTTGTGAGAAGCCAGAACAAAGTACATATCGCAGCTGTATGAAGAACGTTTGTTATAAGTCATAAAACGCATCTATATTATACATACCCCATCCCGCGATGTCGGAGATAGTAAAATATCGAGAGTAAATTTAAGCTTTTGTATTTCCAGATTGTCTGCAGCGCATACTTTGCAGTTGTATCTATCCATAGAACTTTGAGCGCCGGGAAGACCAAACACTATTGGTTAATGCGATAAATGAAGAACTCTCAAACGCGTTTTCTTCCGGAGCTGCGTTGCGGCGTCTTCTCTGGTTATCGTCTTCCTTGCGCTCTCAATTCACGCATTTTTTCAGCTCGTACGAAAGTTAGGCCACCATGCATTTCTCTTGGGCGAATCGGGAACAGCTAACGCTCATAAACTGAGACCGATCCCTCGAGGCCTCATCAAAGTCGACGTGATTGCCCGCTTTATTGATCAAGCGCCAATTAGGCAGGCTACCGCTCGGAACATGGATGGTTAGTTGTCCCGGTCCTAATCGGTGCCGTTGATCACGCTATTTCTTTCGAAGAGCTAGCCAAATTTGCTTTTCTTATGGACGAAAAAAAAAATAATAATGGCTTGTCTTGACTGTATAGTAAATCGTTTTCTGATGACGGTAACACGTTCAGAGCGAACGCTGGAAAGGAGAATCTCCAGCGCTCGTTCTTCTAAAGTGGAGAGAGGTGAGACGAGCTTCCATTGAACTCTTCAGCTGTCACCGACTTTACTTCCCCTTTTTTTCCCTGCGCTCCTAGCCACACGTGCCTACGCTAGAAACCCGAACACCTCCGCGCCCAGCCCACGCACTCCCGACATCGAAAACAACGAGAACCCTGTAAAAAGCGCAGCGGTCGTACGCCTCGCGTGGGCGCGCCACTCTCTTTCAAAACGGGATTGGGAGTACGCTACGGAGCGACCCCGCCCGCAGCACCGAAAGCAGCACGCAGCAGCAGCAGCAACAACGACGACGCGCGGCCGGCGGCAACGCATCCGCGCCACGCGGGCGCTTTCTCGCTTGCCCTCCGCGACCTCGCGCCTCCCTCCCCACCTCCCACACGCCGCCGCGGCCGTTCTTTATCTCGGTCGCGCCGGCGCCTCGACGTGATCGGGGAGCGAGCGAGCGCTCAAGCAGCCGACCGGCGGACGGTCATCGAGAGCGCGAAGGCGAGCGAGGGGGGGCGACGGGAGAGAGCGGAAAAGTTCCAGCTGCCGTCGCGGTCGACCGCGCGCCGCGGGCCGCCGGCCGAGTTCCCGGTCGGCGTCGCGTCACGGAATCCGTCGCCGGTTTTCGGTGCGTCGGCCGGCCGGCCGGCACTGGTCGGCTTCGCGCTGCCTGCCTGCGCGTGCTGCATTCCTGCGTGCCCTCCGTTCGCCCGTGTCCCGTAGAAGGTCGAGTTGCCGCTTCGCCGCGCTTCCAGAGCCCGACCGTCTCCGCTGGCGTCTCGTAGACCGCGTTGCCCCCTCCGCTAAGCGTTCCGCAACGAAGAAGTTGTTACTGCGCCTGCGCGCCGATAGCCTTGACTATGGAGTTCCCGCTATCGTAGCGGGTTGCGGAGGGCCTTGCGGGACGGCGAAAACGATCTACGAAAACTCCCTCTTCTCTGTTTCGTGCGTCGCGTCCTTTTCGGTGGCGCTTTCCTTTTTCGGCTTCGCTGCCACGGCCGCTACTGCCGCGGCTGATTCTGTCGCGGCGTTTCTAGCGTCCTGGGAGAGTGGAAACGACGCAGGCGGCGCCGGCAACGCCGCCGCGGCGTTTCGTTCCTAATCAGCGACGTCCATCGGAGCCGACCGAGAGACCAGCGGCGCCGATAAATGGGCACGGGTGCCGCTTGCTCGCTGGCTTCGCTTTTTGCTTCACGGTGATCGTCTTTTCGGACGATCTTTTGCGTCCTTTTTGTCTGTTTTCGCGAGTGGTTGCGGCGGCGCGCCGGGGCCGAAAGAGGGGCACGTGTGGGAACGAGGACGGGAGCGTTGGGAAGATAACGGCTGTGGGCTGCTTATCGGGCGGCAGCGAAACTCCGCGACGCACTCTCTTTTTTTTTCTTTTTTCTTTTTTGTTCTTATTACTGGCGGGTTCCCTCGTGAATGTTGCGGGGGTCGACGGTCGGTGGTGCCGCGAATGTTCGATCGTTTTGCGCTCTCGGAAATTCGCTAACGTGCGAGTAATCGAATCGACGCCAATGCGTCCAATAGGGAAAAAAAAAATGGAAAACTAAGTTTGGTAAATGTTGCCTTGTATAATTACTTCGTAAGCTCTCGGTAAACCACAGCGTTTGGTGCATCGAGACACACTGCGACTGTGTTCAACTTTGTGTGTTTAGTTGTAATTGTAAGAAAATTGCGTGTGAGAGAACAAGATGTGTTCAACATTGATAACATATTTTCTTGCGAGGACAAAAAAAAATATAGTAGGTAATTGAAACATAGATCGCCCGTGTTGTTTTCTCTTAGTGTTCCGTATTTTAGCGCCACATACTTCATGTATGTGTTTTACCCGTAGCCCTCGTTCGAGCATTCGCTTGTCTTTTAACTGCGCCGTTTCGAGGGTTCGAAAAGCGAAGGGTATATAACTCGAGCCTATGGATTTCTTGCATAAGAAGCGTTCGCGCGATGTGCGCTGATCGCGATTCTAAGTTTCGCTTCGCTCACTGGCGTTGACGTGAAAGAAAATCTAACAACTGCGTTCGTGCGATCTGCGCTGATCGCGATTCAAAGTTTCGCGACGCTCACTGGCGTTGACGTGAAAGAAAATCTAACAACTATTTGAACTCAATAACACGGGAGTATGGAGCCATCCCGAGTGAATAATTAGATCGGCCTGGTTACGTTGCGGTAACCTACGTTGATTCACGACTGCAAGTTACCACTCTAACCAAAGGACGCAACGCGTGTCACTGTGTTAATGTCGTTCCGCTGTTTGTACACCATTGAAGATCCAGGGCTGTTCTCTTTAAAGGCAAGCCTTTAGTTCCTAGATTAACGCGAGTGGGAGAGAAGAAAGTGGCTCAGGCCAGGGGCTGATTTCGATTAAAAAAAAGCCCTTGCAAATTTCAGGGGGGGGGGGGGGGGGCTGTATTCCCTTCCCCTTTATATCCGCCCCTGCCTGAGGTTTAGGTTTACGCGCTTCAGTGGTTCCGCCGTAGCGCTACCGGAAATGGTCAAAGTGTGTAGCTTGATATGCAACCGTCGCGACCGTTGTATTTGCTACAACGGGACTTCTCTCTCTGACCGCAGCAGCCATCGTGGCGGCCCCGATGTACTACGCGAGCTTCTTCCCGGCGGCTGTCCGGCCCTTCGACGGCCGGGGCCCCCTGGACGGCGTGGCGGCGGCGGCGGCCCTGGTAGGGCGCGGCGGGGAGCGCGGCGAGATCCCGCTGGACCTGTCGCTCAAGCACGTGCGCCCGGACGGCTCGGATGCCACCGAGGAGCTGCTGCTGCTCGAGCACCGCAAGCTGGCCGCGGCCTACGGCAGGCACCTCCTGGACCCGGCCGCCTTCCTCAGGCTGCAGCACTACCAGCAGAGGGTCGCTGCAGACGCCTTCCTGCAGCAGGTGAGGCCCACGGGCGTTTCACATCCATCTGGTGCATCAGTTTCCGCTGATCGTTTTCGGCGTCCCACAGCGTTCTCAAAAGATGTGCTAGGAGATTCGAAACTCTCCAGGCATAAGGATATATTGGCAAAGCTAGCAGCGGCCATGCGCAGTAGCGGTGTCTTCGTTGTGGGAAGCGTGGCAGAGGGGGGATTGCTATGAAACGACCTAGGGACATTGGGAACAGCATGCAACAGATGAAAGTCTATGCGGCGAGCGCTAAGAAATACTGCACAACTTAGCGCGTTGGGCCGTATACACTTTATTAGTCATACATTGAGAGGGGCGGATAAATTACTCGTATGCCATACTACTTCGATAGAAACAACGGCAATCACCAGCTTTGTGACAAACGGCTGGAATCACCTCCAGTGTCGCGCGCAGCAGACGTCCTCGCCTTGCTAACCGGCCCTCCGTTGCTCCGCGCAGGCATTCGGCAGCGCAGCCAGCGTGGCCCAACACCACGCCCTGGCAGCTGCGCGGATGGGCTGCCTCGACCAACAAGTGGCCTTCCACTCCGCGGCTTCTGCGCGAGCCCCCACCGCCTTCCTGGAACCCGCCGCGGCGCTTGCGCTGAGCATGCGGGGCGCCGGTGCCCCCGCGCTCGCCCCGGGAGACCTGGCGCGGTCCCTGTACCCTCCCACAGCGGCCACGGCTTTACCCGCGGGCTACTCGTCCATGTTCGCCGACCTCCTGCCCAAGCCCGACCCCTGCCGCCTGGCGGAAGAGAGCAAGACGCCGTCGTACTCTCGACCCCCCACCAACGGCGTGTCCGAAAAGACCCCGTCGTACATCACGGACCCGGTCCGGTTCGCGGCAGAGCACCTGCAGCGGTTACAGGACGGCCAGCAGTCCAAGTACGCAGCTGTCACGACATCGTCGGGGTCCACCTCCTCCAGTTCATCCCGGGAACACAAGAAGTCGTCGTCTTCTTCGAGTCGGCACTCCGACTCCTCGAGTCGACACGGAGACGTTTCTAGTCGACACACCGACGTCTCGAGTCGACACGCGGACATCTCGAGTCGCCACTCTGACGCGTCGAGGCATACAGAGGTCTCGAGTCGGCATCCGGACGTCTCGAGTCGTCACGCTGACGTGTCGAGTCGGCACGCCGACGTTACCAGCCGCCACGCCGACGTCACCAGCCGGCACGCTGACGTCACCAGCCGGCACGCCGACGTTACCAGCCGGCACCCCGAGTTGTCCAGTCGACACGTCGAGTCTTCCAGGCACGTCGAGACGTCGAACACGTCCGCGCTCAACTTGCTGGGCCCGAGGCCTTCGCTGGGCGGCGGACTCAGCTCGGCGTTCGGAGAGACCGTTAAGCGAGAGGACTACTTGACCCCGTCGCACCTTCCCTTCTACCCGCCGTGGGGATTGCCGCCGTTGATCCCTCCAGTCACGACGGCACCGCCGACACCTCTCCTCACCCCCAGTCCCCAGAAGAAGAAGGAGTCGCGATCTGAAGGCTCGTCCCGGAGTAAGAGTCATCATGGTGCAAGCAGTGGCAGCAGTCGGTCATCTGCCAACAAGCGACCCGTGGAACACGACGAGCACGGCGAGATCATCGTCATCGACGAGGAGCAACAGGCTCGCATGGCGTCGTCGCTGAGGACGTCGACAGCCGCAGCGGCCGGTGGCAGGCCTCCGCCGCCACCGGAGCCGCAGCGCGCCAAGATGCCGCGTCTGGAGGCGATGCAACCCCCGGATGAGGCGAAGACGTCGCACGGCGAGTCCAAGCGACCCGCCAAGAGTCCGCTGAGTCCTCCTCCCCTCATCGCCGCCGTGCCGCCGGCCACCAGCCCCAAGACCGGAGAGGCGGCTGCCATCGCGGCCATATTGAAACAGTCCCCTCCGCCCAAGACGAAAGTCACCACGCCGCACGACGAGAAGCCCACGCTGAACTTCTACTTCAGGGACCACAAACAGCAGCAGGCCGTCACCACGACGGCGCCGTCCACCCTGCCGCCCAAGACGACCACGACGGAGTCGAGTCACCTTCATCAGCACCTCCAGTACCTCCAGCAGCAGCAACAGCTGCTGCATCATCAGCTTCCGCTGGTGCCGACGCCACTGCCCGCGGTCGTGGCCCCCGGACTGCTGGGGTCTCCGCCCCGGGACGTCGTCGAGAAGGCTTTGGGCGTCGAGTGCGTCTCGCGGATGGCGTCGTCGCTGCAGCGGGCTTCTCGGCCTTCAGGCAAGGACGTGGCTGCGCCCGCCAAGTGCGCGCTGCTGGAGCGGGTCAAGGAGGAGAGAACGGTCGAGGTTAGTTGGCCACAGCCTTCGTTGCTCGCATGTTTTCTCTTTCGTGTTGCCGACGGACGTGTGCGTGGTTCGCGAGCGCTTCGTTCTGGCTTGTGCGCTAGCGCGCAGCTGGTCTGAAGGGCGCGCTGAGGGGACCGAGAAAGGCGAACGCGCGTCGGGGACGCGGTGTCCCCGTTGCGGTCCGGTCGACGCGGACGTGGGATTATCCGACGTCGCACGACGCCGTTCACCTCGGTCCGCTTTTAGTGCGCCGACAAAGGTTAAGCCTGCCAAAGCGACATAGCGCTTTGTGTAGCTCTGATCGGTGGTAGGTCGTCCATGTGTTATCGCAGACACATGCGGAGAGGGCGTATGGAGCCCCTGTTGTCTTCCTTCCGCAGCCAATGAGGTTGCGGCATTATCCGACAAGAAGGACGAAAAGATGAATCGCAAATCAAGAAGCGAACATTGTAAGGTACGCGTTTCTCAAGCTCTGTGACTACACGACCCGCAAGTTCGTCTGCGCCTTGCTCTTCAATGCGCCAAAGACGCATTTTGGAACGCTTGCTCGCCGTATAGGGAAACTGGAGGAATGAAGGTCTAGTCCTATAGACCGCTTGGAAAATTAAGCGCCCTTACGGTCTATCTAAAAATACTGCACAGTGGCGTGCGCGAGAGACACAATGAAATGGCAAGTCTTTCAATCGTATATAGTTTCTTGAAAGTGAGTGTTACATCATATAAACACTTTTCGCACGCCACGGCGAGGTATTTTCAGGTCGACCGTAAGACGGCGTAATTTTGAAGGAGTCTATAAATGTACGATATCTCATACGAAAAAAAAAAAAAAGCGAACATTAGAATTCGTTTGAACACTTACGGTCATTAAACGGCTTTCGTAACCCAGGAAAGCGATCTATAGCATGTTTAAAAAAAAAAAGGAATGAAATGGTATTACAAACAATGGGAAGAACGTACAACAGAAAGAAGGACAAGGCGAGATGGAACAACGAGTTGCCGAGCTCGGTGAAGGTTTGGCGAAAGCGACGCGGCTCTTTTCCAAATTAAAATATTCTGGCAGGCTAGACAGTCAGACCCAAACTAAAAGCTCTAACCCCAATGCCACGATGCGATTCGCGAACAGTCGTACGCTTTCTGGTTCTTTCTTCGAGCAAATGCCCGACCAAAGAAAAAGCGGGCTTAGAGTTCCCCAGGTCCTTTTATCCCGTCATCGTTTCCCTGCTTTCGTAAGTTTGCGGAGGCGGCCTCGGCCAAGTACGGACTCCCCGGGAAGAGTTGGGGATTGCGTCCGGGCTCGCGAGGAGATGGGGGCTAGCGCCCCGAAGCGCGCACCTAATGGGGACGTGATGGACGCGAGGCAAAAGGTCTGCTCGGAGCATGCGCCTTCTTCGACAGCGAAATTTTGAAGGCTTCTCTCACACGCGGTTGTGAGAAGTCTTCAAAATTTCGCTGTCGATGTCCCGAGCAGACCTCGCGTCCATCACCTGCCCATTAGGTGCGCGCTTCGGGGCGCCAGCCCCCAACTCCTCGCGAGCCCAGACGCAATCACCAATTTTCTCCGAAGAACAAACCCCCGCTACGTTGGAGCAGCCGCGGCGGTGCCGGAACCGGAGAGACGGCAACCGAGGGGAGCTCGCATCCCGCCGCGCCGTCGGACCTGCCCATAATTTCCGCCGCGGGACCAAAAAAAAGAAAAAGGAAGATAAAAGAAAGGCCGCGCCCCTCGCTTGGCCGCGCGCGCACACGCGGCTGCCTCCCTTCTATTTTTTTTGCTGCCGCTTTTTATGGTTGCTCCCTCCGTCGTCGTACTCGCGCTCTCCGGCTGGGTGCATTTCTCGCCCGCCTTTTATCTCTGGCTTCTCCTTTGTTTCGAGAGTTTTTATTTTGCTGGTTTATATTTTATTTTGGCGGGGACGCTACTTGTTCGCGTGCAATGCGGCACCGCCGAAAGTTTTTTTTTATTCTCCCTTTTTTATTTTGATTTCGGACGCGCTCGGTGGGATTAGGTTTTGCGACGAGCCCGGCGCCGACGTCGTAGTTATGATTGCCATTGAACGGACATATTCGTTTGCTCTTTTCCTCCAATGCGTGCGATGCTTCGATTTACCCCGCGGCGCTCGGAGTAGAGTGCCTAAATTTCAGAGAGGGAGAAATTCAAACCTCGCAATATAATGGCGGATGCCACCTGGGCGGATTGGTCGCTATTGCGCGTGCGTAGCGTCGCAGCAGCGTGCAGAGGAGGAAATCGGATGCAGACGACCAGTCGTCGCAGCTGGTGATCACGTGACCTCGATCAAGCTGTTGGAAAGGCTCTGTAACCGAGGCACACCGAGCCGAGTCGTGCGCGCTCTTTGTGCCGGCGTCGACGAGTGGCTTTAATTGCGGAGGGGGGCGGCGACTGGGCGACGTCCGACGCGTTCGAGTGAGCCCGGCCGGTTTTTGTGACGCGCTCGCACGGAACGGGCCCCGGCCGGCGCTGTCTGATTAGCGCCGGGCGGCGGGACAAAGCGCCGAGCGCCGCCGCATCGGGGGCCGGCGACGGGGCTTCCGGGCGAGCGCGAGTCGCTGCGGGGCCGACCGGAGACACGTCCCCTCGACGAAAGATACGGGCGGCTGGATCCACAGACTGTTTCTGGAGCCAGAGAACGCCGTCAAAGCTACTCACTCGAGTGCGTGGCTTCATCTATTGTAGCTGGCAGGATGAGAGCGGCAGGGGGTCTGTATGGTTGTCCCGCTTAGAAGCCGGGCGTCCTGAGGATACGCCTAAGCATAACAGCCGGGCCCTGCGGGCACGTGCTGAACCCGTGCTCAAAACGAAAACATATGCTGTTGCTGCCAGTCCAGACCTCTCGCGCACGTTTTACTAGAAGTCTGCATTAAGTAGCGTTGAGGTTCACTCAGGTTAATCTGGCTCCTCCGTAGTGAAACGAAGATGAACATTTCTTTCATGTAACGTTTGCACACTTTGGTAAAATGGAAACGCTGCAGACCTTTCGTTACGCTCGCCGTGACATCGTGCGTGACCAGCCTAATCAAAAATAGAAGCGAACTCTCCACCTCCCATCACCAGATTAACGTACACAGAAAACGCAGCTTGCGGAGCAATATTGCATTCCATGTCGACTCCCTAGAAGCTAGTGGCGGGGAAGATTCGCCAAAAGTCAGTGCCGGCTCGGCACTTGGCCCGGCTGGGGCCGCCAGCTCGCGCTCGTCGTACAGACCGGCGTCCTTGTCGTCACGAGGCGAAGCGACAATAAGAGAACGAACAAAGGGGTTGCGGGGGAACGACCCACTGGCTCGAAGAAAAGCCGGAGGCCCTCCGGACGCCCCCCCTCTTATCAGGAGCGGCGACGAGCAATCGGGCAGCGAGCAGCCGTACGAACGTGGGAGCCGTCTCTGTCGGACAAAGCGAGGTGCTGCCAATCTTCCGCCTCGGCCTTTTGATGTCGTTCTTTTTTCCCCCTTCTGTCGAACTTTATCGTTGTTACGGCTGGCCGCTTGTCTCGTCCGCTACCGCTATACGTCCTTTCACCTTACCGTGGACCGCTGCGAACGCTACGAGCCATCTAAGCCAATCCAGTCCAATCCAATCCTGTACCAGTGTCACGTGACATTCGAGAGGGGCCGCGGGAGCGACGCCGGGGCGCCTAGTCGCGTGTTCCGTTGGCAGCGCCGCTGGGTTGCCCCAGTGACGATTCATCGTAACGTCCTATGACCTCGGGGAGAAGCCCTGCGAAGCGCGGAAGTCACGTGGAAGGTTCACAACGTTCGATTGGCTCGGGAAGGCGTCGTGTAGCGTCCGCCGCGGTCGGTCGTAAAGGTGAACGGCAGTTGTCGACGGAGGAGGGCGGACTCGTCGAGGGCAGGCGGGCGGCACGTGTACGCACTTTCGTCGCAGCCGGACGAGCTCGTCGCTTTTCGCGCTCGTCGCTTCGTGCCCTCCGGCGAGATCCCTTTGCGCCGCTCCCGTTTGCAGCTTTTGCGGAGGCAAAGCACGTTGCGTATGCGCGCGCGTAACGCCGCGAGACTTGCCAACTGGAATATAAAATTCAGTTCGTTTTTTTTTTTTTTCTTTTTATTCTCGCCTCCAGCTGGTTGGCACTTTTGTAACGTGCTCGGCGTGCCGAATTCACGGGGACTGCCGTGCCTTTTTTTTTTTTTTTTTATATACTATATTTCGACAGAAAAGTACGGTTCTACACCAAAGCTTCGCGTTATACCTTGTCGCAGAACACTTCGATCTCGCGAAAGTTTCTATCGCGTGGCTTCATAACTGCTTCGATTCGTTCGTTCTAAAACAGACGCAATGCCACAAAACAAAAAATAAAGTATTTTCTTTTTCTTTTTTTTTCTTTTTTTAAGCGCAGGGGTGTCGCGTTTTCTTTAAAGATTCTCGCTTCGTGATTGGTCCTTGGCCGTTCTTATCGGCTAATAGCGCATTTCCATTGGCTCCGGGACAATGAGGAGATCTTCGCTGCTCGCCCTATCCTGTCCGCAGTGAATCCATGTTTGCGGAATTCGTCCGCTCAAAAAAAAAAAAAGTATTCACCGGCGCCCATAGCTGCGGCTTTTTGAGGTGAAGCTGGTGATGAAGTAAGGGTTCTCCGCTTCTGATTCTTTTTCCGCCATCAAAACCGTTGATCCTGGCTGCAGACGACAAGTTGCTCTATCCAAATTTCGCGCTGGCGACCATATGTGGATAGCTCCTTCAACATTGAACAGTGGTTCACGAAACCTACCGTGTGTGGTTTATCTTGGCTTTCTCATGCCGTTCTCGGCGACGCCTTTTTGTGTCCTCGTTCATAAACAGGGAAACGAATCGTCGTGCGGGCTTTTCTCGCCGTCCCGGTTCGGTAGCAGCCAGGGGGCCCCGGGGGGTTAAACCCCGAAATCAATCAGGCTAACGCCGACCGAGGTCCAGAACCTCGGGTGGGAGGAGGAGCCCCAGCCGCTACTAGGACTCCCCCGCAAGCAAGCCGGGACGCGGAGCCAGAACACAT